CGAGCCGCCGTCATTGCCGCGTCGTCCACGGTCCCCACACGGTAGCACCCACGGTCCCCACACGGTAGCACCCACGGTCCCCACACGGTAGCACCCACGGTCCCCACACGGTAGCATGGCTTGCTTTGAAGAATTTTCATGGTCCGCGCCGCGGTTCAAGATGGAGATTGCATGCATGAGCACAGCAAAGGGCATTGCATGACGCAGGCACAGCCGAGACACAGCACCACGGAGAACTTAGAAGATCCCGCCATGGTTCTTCTCCGCGGATGGTCGTGGTCGATGATGCTCATGCTGGTTTTGCATGCGCGACAGGCCATGGCTGCTGGAGAGGCCACGAAGGCCACGGCTCCAGTGGCGGCGGAGCCAGATGTCCCACTTGCTGTGCACTGGTGGAATCATGTGATTGGAGGGCCAGCGGCCCCAGCGGCCCCAGCGGCCCCGGTGGATCCAGCAGAGGAGCTAGCGGGCCAAGTGGAGCCAGCGGAGACAGCCCCAGTGGAGGCAGCGGAGCAAGGCTCAGTGGAGCCAGTGGAGCCAGTGGAGCCGGTGGGGGCACAAGCCCCAGTCGAGCCAGTGGAGCCAGCCCAGTGGAGGCAGCGGAGCAAGGCCCAGTGGAGGCAGCGGAGCAAGGCCCAGTGGAGGCAGCGGAGCCAGCCCCAGTAAAGCCAGTGGAGCCAGCACCAGTGGAGCCAGGGGAGCCAGCGGCTTCATCTGGAACATCGTCGGAGGGCCAGAGTGCCGTGGATGACGCTGCGGAAGCTGCGGAAGTTCGCAGGCGAGGGCAAGAAGCACTTCGGCAAATGCAACACAGAACGCAGCGACGGGAGCATCTGGCCAGAGAGGAGGCCGCGAGAAATCGAGAGCAGGCGATTCAGCAAGAAGTCGACCGGCGACTCTCCGCGGCAGTGCAGCAGCAGGTGGCTGCACGAGAGAGTGCTGCGGCTCGCGAAGGCACGGCCATGCCTTTTCTCATGGAGGTGCTTCAGGCTGTGGTGGGTTTGGTGAGGCGCCAAGAAGAAACACAGGCCCTTCTCCAGCGCAGTTTGGAAGCTGCCGAGCAGCAGAGACGAGAGGAGGCCCGCCAGAGGACCCGGGACGCTCAAAATTGGGCAGCGGCAGTGAACCAGATAACAGACTTGGTGAGAGTGCAGATGACGGGGGCGGTGTCTACAGCGACACCCGGCCCAGCAGGACAGGCCCCGGGAACGCCTGGATTCCCTGCGCCGCTGACTCCCGGTGGACGGCGAGCGCCAGCGCCGAAGCGGACGCGCTGCATGCGGTGCGAGGCCTGCCTCGCCGGCCTGCCGGCAGGAGCAAAGCGACTCCCTTGCGGTCAGTGGACGACGCCAACCCTCGCGAGGGACAGCCAGGGGCGGTGGATGTCAGTGGAGCGCTCTGCCTCACCGGCACCGGCTGGTGTCAAGCGATCGGTGGAGGTGGAGGAGGAAGAAGGCACGGTCAAAAAGAAGAAAGAAAAGAAAAAGCCCAGAGTCGAAGCCTCGGAACACCAGCCAATCAAGGTCAAGGATGACCACGATGACAAATCAGATCGCGGTCACGGAGATGCTTTGAGCTCTTCTGATCCGGCTCCGCTAATAGGGGCTTGCTAGGACAGCTGCAGTCAGCACAACGAGCCCCCCCGTTCCCAAACGGATTCCCCATGGATAGTCTATAGCCTAAGT